AAAGGAAAGGAAAGGAAAGGAATGGAAAGGAAAGGAAAGGAAAGGAAAGGAAAGGAAAGGAAAGGAAAGGAAAGGAAAGGAAAGGAAAGGAAAGGATTTGGGAACAGGATTTGGGAACAGGATTTGGGAACAGGATTTTGGGGTGGAATTTGCGGGTCAGGATTTGGGGGAGTGGGACTGGGGACAGGATTTTCGGGATCAGGATTTGGGATCGGGATTTGGGGATGGGATTTGGGGGAGCAGGAACGGGATGGGATTTGGGGTCAGGATTTTGGGAAGCAGGAACAGGGACGGGATTTTAGGGATCAGGATTTGTGGGATGGGAATGGGGACAGGATTTCAGGAATCAGGATTTGGGGTCAGGATTTGGGGGAGCGGGAATGGGGTCGGGATTTTAGGGATCAGGATTTCTGGGATGGGATTTGGGGACAGGATTTGGGGACAGGATTTGGGGGAGCAGGAACGGGATGGGATTTTGGGAATCAGGATTTGGGGTCAGGATTTTGGGAATCAGGATTTGTGGGATGGGATTTAGGGGTGTGGATTTTTGGGATGGGATTTGGGGCCGTGGGAACGGGGACTGGAATTTAGGGATCAGGATTTGTGGGATGGGAACGGGGACGGGATTTCAGGAATCAGGATTTGGGGTCAGGATTTGGGGGAGCAGGAATGGGGACGGGATTTTAGGGATCAGGATTTGTGGGATGGGCTTTGTGGGTGTGGGAATGGGGTTGGGATTTCAGGAATCAGGATTTGGGGGTCAGGATTTGGGGTCAGGATTTGGGGAGTCCCTGCGTCCATCCCTGCCTCAGTTTCCCCACGCACGAGCCCAGAGCGGCGGATTTTTGGGATCCCCTCCCCCCGGGTTGATCCAGGGAAAAGGGGGTGAATTCCCGGGGTGAAATTCCCGGTTTGCGGGATCGAGGAGATCCCGAAGGAATCCTCCCCTTGTCCCGGGATCCGGGATCAGCCCGGATTTCTCCCGAGGATTCCGCAGCTTCCCGTTCCCACCGGGATCCGCGGCGGCTCCAGAGATTCCCGTGGGAAGGAGGGAAAATCCTCCCGGGATTCCCGGGAATTTCGGGAGCCGCCGGAGTTTTCCCAGGGAAAACTTGGGAAAAGCTCGGGATGGGATCGCAGCTCTTCCAGAGGCTGGGAATCCCTGGAGGCGGAGCGGGATGAGGGCAGGAGCAGCGGAATTCCAGGAATTCCATGGCCAGCCCGGATCAGCTTTCCCAGCTCTTAATGACCTTGGGATCATTAACCAGGGACAATTAACCCTCAGCTCCCCGCCGCGCTTCCAGAGCCAAAAGAATCCCTGGGAGAGGGCCGGAATTCCCGGAAAATCCACTGCGGAGCCCTGGGCGATCCCAAATTTCCGCTTCTGAACATTCCCCGTCCCGGATCCGGCCCGAATTCCCGGGAGGGAATTTGGGAATGTCGGGATTTGTCCCGGATTTGGGTCCCGCTGGGAAAACCCGGAAAACCTCTGGAATTCCTTCCCCCCCCCCCCCAAAAAAAAGAGGGATTTTGGGGGCTGGAATGAATTTTCCCGGCATTCCAGGAGTTCAGCATTCCCGGTTTTTTTCTTCCTGTGGAATTCCTGGGAATGGCTGGAATGGGATTGGGAATGTTGGGGGGGGGGATCGATTCATGGATCTCCAGCGGAGAATTCCCAAGGAAAATTCCCAAATCCAGGCGTTTCCCGAAATTCCGGGGCCCGCGGGAATTTCGGGAATTCGCCCCGGGAAGCTCTGCCTGGAGCAGGGAAATTCCCGAGGGATTTTTCCAGGAGGGAATTCCCAAATTTCACCTCCCAATTCCGTTTAATTAATGCAATTAATTTAATTGCGCTATTTCCCTTAAATGATTTAATTTAATTAATTTGCGTGAAACGATTTCATTTGTTTCGTTTTTAATTTAATTTAATTACTTTAATTGAATTAATTTAATGAATTCCTTTAATTGAACTAATCGAGCCGTCCTCGTGGCTGAATAATTTGCATATTTAATTACCATTCTTACGGCCGGTTAATTAACCCATTACATTAATTAATTAATTAATTAATTAAGCCATCCCCGCCGCTGAATAATTAGCATATTTAATTACCATTGCTATGGCTAATTAATGAACTTATTAAATCCCTTTAATTTAATTAAGCCACCACCGTGGCTGAAGAATTTGCATATTTAATTACCATCCTTACGGCCGGTTAATTAACCCATTAAATCCCTCTAATTGAATTCATTAAGCCAGCTCCGTGGCTGATTAATTTGTATCTTTAATTACCGTTGCTATGGCTAGTTAACGAACTTACTAAATTCCTTTAATTTAATTAAGCCAGCTCCGTGGCTGAATAATTTACATATTTAATTACCATTTTTACGGCCGGTTAATTAACCCATTAAATCCCTCTAATTTAATTCATTAAGCCACCACGGTGGCTGAATAATTAGCATATTTAATTACCATCCTTACAGCCGGTTAATTAACCCATTAAATGCCTCTAACCGAATTAATTACCCCACATCTGCCTAATTAACTCAGGCAATTAACCACCCTGATGACGTCATCCCCCCCCACCCCCCCCGGAGGGGGGGAGGAAAATCCAGGAAGGAAAAACAAAAAACCCCCGACGTCTTTTTCCATAAAAACCCAAAAATCCGGGAATAAATTCCCAGGACGGGGGAGGGGGGGGGAAAAAAACCGGGATTTGGGATAATCCCGCTCCCGGTTGTTCCGGAATATTCCGTGGGGTGCTGGGGAGGTCACGCCGGGTTCCTCGGGATCCTCCTTCCATCCCTATTTTTAGCGCCGTGAGAGGATCAGTGGGAATAAAGATTCCGCGGGCCGCCCTCGGAATCCGTCGCTCCGGGAGAACCGGGACGGAGTCGGCCAAGGTGGGTTGGGAATTCCGGGGGGGTGATGGGGTTCCTTGGGAATGGCTGGAATGGGGATCGGGAATGTGGGGGCGAGAGGGGTCTGATCCACGGATATTCCTGGGAATAGCTGGAATGGGATTGGGAATGTTGGGGGGAGGGGAGGCAGGAACGGATCCGTGGATATTCCTGGGAATGGGATCGGGAATGTTGGGGGAGGCAGGAACTGATCTGTGGATATTCCTGGGAATGGGATTTGGAATGTGGGGGGAGAGGGGTCTGATCCATGGATATTCCTGGGAATAGCTGGAATGGGATTGGGAATGTTGGGGGTGGGATCTGATCCATGGATGTTCCCCGGAATGGGATTGGGAATGTGGGGGGAGGCAGGATCTGATCCACGGATGTCTCCAGGAATGGGATCGGGAATGTTGGGGGAAGCAGGAACTGATCCGTGGATATTCCTGGGAATGGGATTGGGAATGTGGGGGAAGAGGGGTCTGATCCATGGATATTCCTGGGAACGACTGGAGTGGGATTGGGAATGTTGGGAGTGGATCTGATCCATGGATATTTCTGGGAATGGGATTGGGAATGTTGGGGCAGGGGGGATAATCCGTGTCGTTGTTTCATGGGAACGGCTGGAATGGGATTGGGAATGTTGGGAGTGGATCTGATCCATGGATACTCCTGGGAATGGGATTGGGAATGGGGGGGGAGGGGATCTGATCCATGTTTTTCCTTGGGAATGGCTGGAATGGGATTGGGAATGTGCGGAGAGTTTCTGATCCATGGATACTCCTGGGAATGGCTGGAATTGCATTGGAAATGGGAGGGGTGGGGTCCGATCCATGTTTTTCCCTGGAAATGGCTGGAATGGGATTGGGAACGGGGGGAGAGGATCTGATCCATGGGTATTCCTGGGAATGGGATTGGGAATGCTGGGGTGGGGGGGGTGGGATCTGATCCATGGATATTCCTGGGAATGACTGGAGTGGGACTGGGAATGTTGGGAGCGGGTCTGATCCATGGATGTCCCCGGGAATGGGATTGGGAATGTGGGGGGAGGGGGGATCTGATCCATGGATATTCCTGGGAACGGCTGGAATGGGATCGGGAGCGTGGAGGTGGAGGGGACACAAGAACTGCTCCATGTTTTTCCTTGGGAATAGCTGGAATGGGATTGGGAATGTGGGGGGAGGGGGGATCTGATCCATGGATGTCCCCAGGAATGGGATTGGGAATGTTTGGAGGGGTCTGATCCATGGATATTCCTGGGAACGGCTGGAATGGGATCGGGAACGTTGGGGGGAGGGGGGGTCTGATCCATGGATGTCCCCGGGAATGGGATCGGGAATGTTGGGAGGGGAGGGTGGGGGTGCCTAATCCCTGTCCGTTTTCCCTGGGAATGGCTGGAACGGGATAAGGAAGTTTGGTGGGACCTGATCCATGTCCCGCTCCCTTGGGAATGCCGGGAGGGACCCCGGAATTCCAGCAGCGCCCCCCAGGGATCTTCTCCATCGTCCATCTCCGTGCTCTGATTCCCATTCCCAGGAAGCACCGGAATTCCGGGATTCCCGGTCCGGGGGAGCCGTCTCCTTCCCACGCCTGAATTCCCGACAACGCTCTCACCTCATCCCGCCTTCCACCGGGAACGGGAATTGCGGGAACGGGAATTGCGGATCCCAACCGATCCCAGCTGGGAATTCCATGGGATCTGCTCCTCTCCCCGCCGGGATCTCTCCCATCCCGTAAACCCGCTTTTCCCGGGATCAGACCCGCCCTCCCCTTATGGAATTCCACCCGGGAAAAGCGGGATTCCTCTCCCTCCTGCTGGTGGCCGCGCTGAGCCGCCAATCCCTGGAGAAATCCCTTCCGTCGGCCGAGCGGGAGCAGGAGGATTCCCGGGAAAGCCCGGGATTGATCCGGTGCGGGGAATACAGCAACCAGGTCCTTCCCAACGGGCGCTGCCGGATCGTGGCCACGCTGCCGCAGGGCGACGAGCGGCGCTGCCCGGATCTGTTCCGCTGCACCGACGAGGTCTCCTTCTGGCTCCACGAGAACGAGGAGCGCAAGCAGCAGATCCTGGAGCTGCGGGAGTTGATCTCCGAGCTCCAGGAGGAGCTGAGGAACCACCGGCATCGCATCAAAGCCCTGGAGAGCCAGGTGAAAGGGGGGTTTTTGTCCGTGGGTTTTTACGGCTCCGGGAATTTGGAAGGGTTGGGATTTGGTTGGAGAGAATTCCGGGGATAATTTCCTCAAAATCAATCCCAGATCCTTGAGGTTTATCCATGGGATCTCCTCCAGCTTTGGAAGGGCTGTGGATCCATCCCGTTCCCAAAGCCCTGGAGATCCACGTAAAAGTGTCCATGGGGATTTTTTCCATGGGTTTTTACGGCTCTGGGAATTTGGAAGGGTTGGGATTTGGTTGAGAGAATTCCGGGGATAATTTTCTCCAAATCAATCCCAAATCCTTGAGGTTTATCCATGGGATCTCCTCCACCTTTGGAAGGGCTGTGGATCCATCCCATTCCCTTTCACCTGGAGACCCAGGTGAAAGTGGGGTTGGTTTTTCCCAGGTTTTCCAGAATTTGGTTTGGGAGAATTCCGGGGATAATTTTCCCCAAATCAATCCCAAATCCTTGAGGTTTTTCCATGGAATCTCCTCCACCTTTGGAAAGGCTGTGGATCCATGCCATTCCCAAAGCCCTGGAGATCCAGCTGAAAGTGTTTTTCCATGGGTTTTTACGGCTCTGGGAATTTGGTAGGGTTGGGATTTGGTTGGAGAGAATTCCGGGGATAATTTCCCCAAAATCAATCCCAAATCCTTGAGTTTTGTCCATGGGATCTCCTCCACCTTTGGAAAGGCTGTGGGTCCATCCCGTTCCCAAAGCCCTGGAGATCCAGCTAAAAGTGTCCATGGGAGTTTTTTCCATGCGTTTTTCCAGCTCCTGGGATTTGGCAGAGTTGGAATTCAGTTTGGAAGAATTCCGGGGATAATTTCCTCAAAATCAATCCCAGGTCCTTGAGGTTTATCCATGGAATCTCCTCCACCTTTGGAAGGGCTGTGGATCCATGCCATTCCCAAAGCCCTGGAGATCCTGCTGAAAGTGTTTTTCCCAGGTTTTTCCATTGGTTTTTCCAACCTCTGGAATTTGGCAGGGTCAGGGCTCAGATCAGGATCATTCCAGGGATAATTTCCTCAAAATCAATCCCAGGTCCTTGAGGTTTATCCATGGAATCTCCTCCACCTTTGGAAGGGCTGTGGATCCATCCCATTCCCAAAGCCCTGGAGATCCAGCTAAAAGTGTCCATGGGGATCATTTCCATGGGTTTTTATGGCTCCAGGAATTTGGAAGGGTTGGGATTTGGTTGGAGAGAATTCCGGGGGAAATTGCCTCAAAAACAATCCCAAATCCTTGAGTTTTGTCCATGGAATTTCCTCCACCTTTGGAAGGGCTGTGGATCCATCCCATTCCCAAAGCCCTGGAGATCCAGCTAAAAGTGTCCATGGGAGTTTTTTCCATGGGTTTTTCCAGCTCCTGGAATTTGGCAGAGTTGGGATTTGGTTTGGAAGAATTCCGGGGAAAATTGCCTCAAAATCAATCCCAGATCCTTGAGCCTCCAGGGGCTCCGGGAGAGCTGGGATTTGGGAAAGGGCCGCAGGGCCAGGAGCCAGGGAATGGCTTCCCACTGGGAAAGGGGAGCTGGGAGCTCGGGAAGGAATTCCCGGAGAATCCCTGGGAGCGCCCCAGGAAAGCTTGGAACCCTCTGGAATGTCGGGGTTGGAATGGGATGGGATTTAAAATCCCTGGATCTCATCCCAGACCATTCCGGGATTCCAGGATCGAGGACACTCAGGATCCATCCAGGGGGTTTTTTATGGAATTCAGGGATGGGAAAGGGAAGGGAGACCCTTCCTGGAGTCCCAAGATTCCCAGTGAAGCCCCTGGATCCCAAAATTCCTTCTCCAGGAGGAGTCGGGATGGGGCTGGATCCAATCCCAGGCTGGGAGAGCGGGATTTGGGAAAAGGGCCCGGAATGCCGGGACAGGGAATGGCTCCCACTGCCTCAGGGTCGGGATTTTGGGCTTTTGGGATCTGGGGAAGGAATTCCCGGCTGGGCTGGAATTCCCAGAGGATCCCTGGAAGCATCCATGGAAAGGCCGGAGCACTCCCATGGAACAGGCCGAGCCGGAATATCCCGAAAACGACGGGGAAGAGGTTCCCACATTCCCAACCTACCCCTCCCTCGGTGGAATCCCGGGAATATCCAAACCCCCCCGACGAAGCCGCGGGACGAGAATTCCAACCCCGCCCTCGGGAACCTTCCACCCCACGCACCTCCCGCCATTCCCAACCCCGTTTTTCCCCTGGAATTTTTTGTTTTCCCGCCTGGCAGCAGGAGGAGGAGGAGGCGGCTCAGAACCAGAGCCTTCTCCAGAGGGTGCAGGAGCTGGAGCAGCATTCCCGGGAATCCAGCACGCTCCAGCACATCCAGGCCACGCTGCTCTACGACATCCAGGCCCAGATCAACAACATCTCCGCCCTGGCTGACTGGGCCTGGAGGAATCCCAGCTGCCTCCATCCCGCCGAGATCCGGCTCCAGGAGGACCCGCGGAATCCAGGTGCACGGGAATTTAAAAAAACAAAAAAAACCACCAAAATCTCCGGAATTCCCGCCGGGAATTATAAAAACTCCCTCTAAAAATCCGCCCCTCTCCGTCGCGGTTCCGTGGGTTTTTCCAGGTTTTGTGGGTGAGGGAGAGGTTCTGGAGTTTAATCCAGGGAATGTCTTGCTTCCCGAAAAAAAAAGCCCTGGAAAAATCCATGGGGATTTGGGGTTCTTACGGTGAGAAGTTCCAATTTTGATGCGTCGGAAGTTGAGGAATTTTTGGGATTTCTCTGTTTTTAGTGGTTTTTATTGGGGTTTTTTGGTGAGTTTTTGGGTTCTTTTCCCAGGAATAATTTGGGATTTTTCCCCTCAAAAAATTCATGGCATGGAATTAAAGCTTTGGTGAAAAGAAAACTTTTTATTTTTTATTTTTTATTTTTATTTTTTATTTTTTGTTTTTTGTTTTTATTTTTTATTTTTTATTCTATTTTTTATTTTCTTATTTTTATTTTTATTTTATTTTTATTTTTTATTTTCAATTTGACTTTTATTTTTATTTTTATTTTTTATATTTTTAATATTTTTAATATTGTTAATATATTTTTAATATTTTTATCTTTTTATTATATTATATTTTAATTTTTTTTCCCCAGTTTTTGGGTTCTTTTCCCTGGAATAATTTGGGATTTTTCCCTAAAAAAATTCATGGCATGGAATTAAAGCTTTGGTGAAAGGAAAACTTTTTATTTTTATTTTTTATTTTAATTTTTATATTTATATATTTTTTAAATTTTTTATTATTCTTTTATTTTTTAAATTTTTATATTTTTATATATTTTTAATATATATTTTATATTTTTATCTTTTTATTATTTTATCTTGGGCTTTTTTTCCCAGTTTTTGGTTCTTTTCCCTGGAATAATTTGGGATTTTTCCCTGAAAAAATTCATGGCATGGAATTAAATCTTTGGCGAAAAGAAAACTTTTTATATTTATTTTTAATTTCTTATTTTTATTTTTATTTTTTCATTTTTATTTTTATTTTTAATTTTTATATTTTTATTTTTATTTATTACTTTTATATTTTTAAATTTTTTATTTTTTATTTTATTGTAATTTTTATTTTTATTTATTTTTTATTTTATTGTTATTTTATTGGGGTTTTTTTATTATTATTTTATTTTATTTCATTTCATTTCATTTCATTTCATTTCATTTCATTTCATTTCATTTCATTTCATTTCATTTTATTTTATTTTATTTTATTATTCCCTGGGACAATTCAGGATTCTCCCTGGAATAATTCTCAATTTTCCCTGGAATAACCCCAGAGCCCCTTCAAACTCCGGAAAAATTCCAGAAAAATTCCCCTACGGAATTTAATCCCGAAAAACCTCCAAATCCAGGGGATTTTTTTTTTTTTTTTACTTTTTTCCCGCTTTTCCCCGATTTTTTTTTCATTGTAACCGCGGCTCTTCCCGTTCCCATCCCCAGAAATCAAACACGGCCGGAATTGTCCCATCGACTGCGCTTCCGTCTATTCCAACGGGCTCCGGAGATCCGGGATTTACAGCATCCTGCCCGCGGTGCGCGGCATTCCCATCGAGGTCCTCTGCGAGATGGACACCGAAGGTCCGAAATTCCCCAGGGATTTTTGGGTCCCGTGGGAGATTTGGCACCCGGGATGGTTCCTCAGGGAACGGGGGCGTTCCCGAGGCCGCTGGAGATCCGGGAGGGTTTGGAAAATGGGAATGTCTGGGAATTCCGGGGTGTCGGGGCGATGACCCTGGTGGGTCTCACCCAGCTGCGGTGATCTTAGTTCAAAGCAGGCGTGGAATTTTGGGAATCCTAAAATCCTGGAATGGTTTGGGTGGGGAGGGATTCCCAATCCCGACACGTTCCAATATCCCAGGGGCGCTCCCAGGGATTCTCTGGGAATTCCCTCCCAAGCTCCCAGCCCCAGCTCCCCTTTCCCAGTGGGAAGCCATTCCCTGGCTCCTGGCCCTCCCTCCTTTATCCCAAATCCCAGCTCTCCTGGACAATTCCAGGGAATTTGAATTTCGGATCCTTCCCTGAAGGCCTTCTCTGGATTTTCCCTGGATTTTCCCTGGATTTTCCCTGGATTTTCCCTGGATTTTTCCTGGACTTTCCCTGGATTTTCCCTGGACTTTCCCTGGAT